TACAAAAACATGGCTGACATTTTTGTTGCACCTACATGAAGAATTTGGTCACGTCCTATTCGTAAAGGTCATTTTTTTTATTTTAGGTTGATGAACAAAAATTATATCTGAATCCCCGGAATTATTTATATTGCATACTTACATTGGTTGTGACATCTCCATCCGTCCTCTCTACCTTGTCCAATTAGAGAACAACTTGTATTCATTGAAAAAAATACAAGGTGTTCTGTTAATGGCGGCAGTGCGGGATGAGCGGCTCCTGTAGTCATTGTTGCAACGGGGCAGATGGTCAGCACAAGACCTGGAAGATCGCAGCCATTACTGTAGTAGCGCTAACTACTACAGTGATTTCCAGATTCCCCAGTGGTCTATCAGGCATGGGATATACTGTACATACTTACATTGTGCCAAGCTTCACCATTGTAAGCAGGGGCGGACTGATAACTCATGGGGCCCTCGGGCAATAGGGGATCATGGGGCCCCTGTGTCCTTGCCCACACTCAAAGCACACCCAAAAAAGCCTATAAAAGGTATCAGGGGCATTTCATGGGGCCCCCTACTGACCCCGGGCCCTCGGACAATGACCCAGTGCTCGAATGGTCAGTCTGCACCTGATTGTAAGTATGCAATACAAATACTTCCTGGAGTTCAGCTTTAAAGTGTACTCAGAGTGTAAATAAGGTAGAGATAGCCAATTTGTGGCTAATGTCTTTTTAAAGTGTAAGTAGAGGCAAATAGCTAAATATGCACTTAAAATATATATGTGTGAGCTGTCTTGCGTGCCAAAAATTTTGTAATTCTGTTCATCCAGTTTTCACATTCATGCAGTGAATTCATCCAGTTTTCACATTCATGCATCCCTGCCAGACACCATACAAAGTCCCATCCTATACTGTGTGTACTAAATTCAAAGTAATAAAGCTTGGTCAGTCAGAGTGTGAATAGTTGATAAAGTCTGCTACCTGCAGGGGCGGACTGACCATTCGGGCACTCCTGCACTGCCCAAGGGCCTGGGGTCAGTAGGGGGTCCCATGAGATGCCCCTGGTAATTTTCAGAGGCTTTTTTGGGTGTGGTTTGAGTGTGGGTGAGGACACAGGGGCCCCATGATCTCCTATTGCCTGGGGACCCAGTGAGTTGTCAGTCCGTCCCTGGCTACCTGATTGGGTTGTCTCAATGCTCTGTCCTCCAATCAGCAAACTCCATTTGTTAGATTTTCAGCACTGTGCAATGCAGTTCATCGTGATTGGTTGAAAGTGCTACCCCCTTTCTCTTTTTAGCCTGAGCGCCAGGGAATTGCAGTACAAAGACAGACTGAGGTGCCATTTAAAAAACATTTTAATACATAACCGGACTAAATGGGGGCCTTTTTATAGCTGTCTATTATTGTACTAACATTGGCTAAATTTCCCAAATAGCCGCCTCCAGTGCTTTTGGTGGCAGGTACGATTTACCTGCAATGTAACCCAGTATTTAAAATTCTCATGTATGCATACTGCGTATATGGCTCATACAGTATATTGTTATTAAGTAATTATACTTTGATCTGCGATCCCCCCTTAAGAAATTGTTGATGTGTTCCTTTTAACAAACTCTCAGTCCAGCGTCCTCAGGGTCTTTAATTTCTGAAGCGCATTTCCTGCCTATACTCGCCTTAGAATATTTAATAATATCATGCATTATAAATAAGATACTTAACTTGTACCCTGGAGAATGGAGTTACTACTATATAACCAAATGTCCGCTAACAACTGTTAATGCTCACAGCGATTACTAGGCAGGAGAAAGCAATTTTTCTGGGCCTTTCATATTGTTTTATTCAAATGGACAAATTGCATTTTAAAAAAAGGCCGTGGATTAGAAATATTTATCAGAGTATCTAAAATAATTGATTTTGTCTCCAAAAAGCAACCAGATTGTCCTGTTTGCTCTGTAATGTATGGAAGATCAATTTGATTGGTTGCTGTGGATAGAATAAACAGCGTTAATTTCAGACTATAAGGCCCTTTGTAACTTATATGCAAAAAAAAAATGAGATTCAGGATACAGTCATGATTATCCATTCTTGTAACAAGGACAATTGAAACAAAACGCGTCATACCCATCTGAGCTTATGAGGCCTGGCTCACATCTGTGTGTTGCATCACATGTCCTTTACATGTGTTTACTTGCATTTTAGATGAACATTTTACTGCAGCAAGCAGGACTTTTTTCTACTGCCCAGATATAAGAGGCATTCATGTGTATTTATTCCCACAAAATTAATTTGAAAAGAACCCGTGCTTTACCCATACAGGGCAAAGCAACAGGTTCACTTTATGTCCAGCCTTTCTCTTGTAGACATTTATATTTCCTTCGCTCCCTTGCTGATCCCTTTGCTTCCAGGAATGAGGACATACTTGTACTTCCAGGTATGGAGGTACATGTGACTCACTGCCCCCAACAAAGTCCTGGTGCTTGGTGATTGGCTCAGAGCTGTTGCCTTTCATAGTCACAGCACAGGTTCCCTTTACCATTCAGCCCCTCTCTTGCGTACATTTATATTTCCTTCGCTCCCACTCTGATCCCTTTGCTGCCAGGAATGTAGAGATATACTTGTACTTCCAGGTATGGAGGTACAGGTGACTCACTACCCCCAACAAAGTCCTGGTGCTTGGTTATTGGCTCAAAGCTGTTACCCTGCATAGGCCCAACACAGGTTCCCTTTACCATTCAACCTTTCTCTAGAAGACATTTATATTTCCTTCACTCCCTCACTGATCCCTTTTCTGCCAGGAATGAAGAGACATACTTGTACTTTCAGGTATGGAGGTACAGGTGACTCACTACCCCCAACAAAGTCCTGGTGCTTGGTGATTGGCTCAAAGCTGTTGCCTTTCATGGTCACAGCACAGGTTCCTTTTACTATTTTGCCCCTCTCTTGTGTACATTTATATTACTTTAGCTTCCACTCTGATCCCTTTGCTGCCAGAAATGAAGAGACATACCTGTACTTCCAGGTATGGAGGTACATGTGAGTCACTACCCCCAGGAAAGTCCTGGTGCTTGGGTATTGGCCCAAAGCTGCCGTGCATGCATTGGTGTATTTAGGTTTGGTGCTGCCCTAGATCATGCGCTAGCAGACTTTGTTGGACGGAAGTCTAGCTGCCAATAGGTAATCAGAAGCCAGGAGAAGGAAAATGAAGGGAAAGTATAAGATGCTGTGATGGAATTGATTAAACTGAACCTGTTGCATAGGGGACAGCACAGGTTCCCTTTACTGTCCAGCCAGTCTCTTGTATACATCTATGTTACCTACACTTTCTCAGCTGATCCCTTTGCTGCCAGGAACAAAGGTATGGAGGTTCATTGGCTCACTACCCCTGTGAAAGTTATGTTGCCTGCTGATTGGACCAAAGCTGTCACATGGGGAAGTGGAGAGTTTCTAGCACTGTGTAAGCTCCAAAGCTTACACAGTGCAAATGGAGCAGCAGCAGAATGAGGGAATATTTGTTGTGATGGAATGGAATAAACTGAAATTGGTGCATGGGAACAGCACAGGTTCCCTTTAAGGATGCACTTGCGAGCAAGCCAAACTAATATCAAATGTTTTCTCATTTATCGCTGATCTTTGTTGAACCCTATCTTCTCATGAATACAAATACTGAAAACAAAATTGTTACTGTTTTCACAGCGGTGTCAGTTTAATTCTGAGCTGTATCTGTATTCTTGAAAAGGCAGCATATAAATGCAATCCAAAGAAGCGCGGAGGAAATGTAACAGATGACAGGCCCGTCTTGTTCTGTGCATGTTCCACCAGCCATATTGTGAGAAGCCCACATTCCTATTTTCTAGCGGTGACTCACTTTGGGGCTCCATTATTAAAGTGCCTGAATTATGAACAGCCTGTGTGGCCCCAGTCTGATTCCAGCTGCAATTTCTACAGTGCAGGTTTGAAAGGAAATCTGATTACTAGGGATAATCCAAGTCTTATCCATTGGGGGGGAGATATATTAAAAGTACATTTTAAAGTGGAAGTCAAATGAAAAGACCCTGTCCCCGCTAACTTGTCATTAAAGCTATAAAGGGAAGCTGTGATATGACTGCAAAAAAAAAAAAACATTCTCCAGGGTGCCATGTTTGGTCGCTTGACCCAACAACCTAAGCAGTTGGTCACTGATTTCTTCTAACAGACAGGAGCAGAGTCCATATTGGCTCATCCATCTTTTCAGCAGAGAAAATGTCACAGAGTACATTGGCTTTTGGCCGCTAGACCTGTCATCATGAGATCCTAATACAGCAGCTTCTGCAGAATTTCAAGGCTGCTTTTACTTTTTATGTCTTTAAAACTGAACTCTTGGTTGTTCAAACCTCCCAAGCATGCAGCGCCACTCCAGGCCTGTGTCTCTCCTGCTTGCTGTGAGTTCCCAGGGTGCCAGTTCGAGGAGCTTGTCTCTACTTGTTATCCAAGAACACTGATGAATAGAAGCTGCACTCCAATAGTCGCTTCTTTCAAAGGCTCTTAATTAATCAAAAAATACAACTGCATCCATATTATCCCCACCCAGGGGCCGCCTCTTTTTAACGCGTTTCACCACTACTGACTTGATCGCAAGGATAGGAGTGGCCGGGGAAGAGGAGTGAGGATGCAGTTGTATTTTTTATAGCTTAATAAAGAGCCTTTGGAAGAAGTGAACATTGGAATGGTATTTCTATTCCTCAGTGTTCTTTGAAATGAAGGTGGATTTAATATTTGCAGCCAGTATAAACACCTAACTGTCTTCATAATACGGTATCTTTAATCTTCTGCACAACAAGAAAGCCAAAATTGCCCAGTAATGTTGGTTTATCACTAGGAGCATGCAGACAGGGGGACAGAACAAAGGGATGACCTACAGAGGTTCCTTGATTGACCAATCAAACAAAGTTGATGGTGAAGCAGGGGCGGACTGACTATTCGAGCACTCAGGCACTGCCCGAGGGCCTGGGATCAGTAGGGGGCCCCGTGAAATGCTCCTGGTACCTTTTTATAGGCTTTTTTGGGTGTGCTTTGAATGTGGGCAAGGACACAGGGGCCCCATGATCCCCTATTGCCCAGGGGCCCCATGAGTTTTCAGTCCACCCCTGTGGTGAAGGACAGGTGATCCTGCACTACCCCCACCTTCCAACATGGCAGGTTGACCAATCAGCAGGCTGGGAAAGTTGACCAAGCAGTATTACTTAACTACAGTATAGAAAAGTGAGGTCACTGACCAGGTTTTGTTACCTGGAAGGGATGCCTGGACCACAAAACTGGTAGAACAGAATTAAAAGCATGTTAAAAGGTAAGCTAGCTCATGAGTATCTCAAGTGTATATTGCGTTGTTTGCCTGGTCACAGCGATCACATGGTACAAGTCCAATTTCATTGGATTTCATTGGCCCTGTACCCTGATCTGTGATCCACTATGTCTGAAGGACACAACCATCACAGGGCAGCGGGAGGCCATATATATATATATATATATATATATATATATATATATATATATATACACCCTCTGCCTCTTAGGAAGCCACTGCCTGGCTATTTTATAAATAATAGCCGGGTGGATCGCGGGTTATATTCTCACACAGCATGTGAGGAAGCTGTCACTTGCAGTCCAGTTCAAACATAATATCTATTTTGCACAGATATATGAAATTGACTCATAGATGTACTGTCCTGAAAATGCATCAGCTAAAAGGGAATTTTAGGCAACAAAGAGGCCACTGAGGATGTGGAACAAAATGTCTCTGTTTTCTTTTGTTAATTGTGTGATGTGTCATTGTGCTTAATGTGTTCCTGCACTGCAATTTAGGGAGGAACATTTGTAGAAAGGAGAGAACTAAAGGAAATCCTGTCTTCAGAAATGCACTCATTGTATTCAGATCCTCTGCGCGGCCTCAGAAAATATGTACCGTGCCGGTGGTGCGGAGGAAAGTTTATAAAACGTGTGTGTATTTTTATTTTTTATTCTTTTATTTCCTGGTAGACAATAAATACAATTGAAAATAAACTGCGTCATCTTCATTTATTTCCATTGAGGGGGATGTAACTGGGAGCAGGGGCGGACTGACCATTTGGAAACTCAGGCACTGGCTGAGGGCCCGGGATCAGTAGGGGGCCCCATGAGATGCCCCTGGTACCTTTTTCATAGGCTTTTTTGAGTTTGGGCAAGGACACAGGGGCCCCATGATCCCCTATTGCCCAGGGGCCCCATGAGTTGTCAGTCCGCCCCTGACTGGGAGGCAGTGAACCTCGTCCTTCAATAGTGAGTAAAGGTATTTGTGGGCAATATTTAATCCCACTTTGTATTAAAGGGAACCTGTCATGAGAGAAAGACATGTTCTACCATTGTTACCCATCTTATGCTGGCCTCTCTGCTTACAATCTTCTTTAGCTGCTCTAACAAATGTAGCTGACAGAGACAGAGATATATGCTGAATTATTTTGTTTAGGCCAATGCTTTACAAAGTTGATGGTGAAGGACAGGTGATCCTGCAGTACCCCCACCTTCTAACATGGCAGGTTGCATGCACAGCATTATCACTGTTGTGGAATTTAATGATTCCGAATTATTTTTTTAGGAAAAGTGAAGAGAAAGGGAAGGAAGGAAGTATGGATGGAAAGAAGGAAGGAAGGAAGAAAGAGAGGACGGAAGAGAGGAAGGAAGAGAAGAAGGGAGGACCGAAGAAAGGGAGGGAAGAAGGAAGGAATAAAGAAAGGAAGGAGGAAGAGAGGAACGAAGGAAGGGAGGTAGGGAGGGAGGAAGGAAGGAAGGAAGGAAGAGAGGAGGAAGGAAGAAAGGGAGGAAGGGAGGAACAAAGGAAGGGAGGGAGGAAGGAAGGAAGGAAGGAAGAGAGGAAAGAAGGAAGGGAGGTAGGGAGGGAGGGAGGAAGGAAGGAAGAAAGAGAGGAAGGGAGGTAGGGAGGAAGGAGGGAGGGAGGGAGGAAGGAAGAAAGGAAGGAGAGGTAGGTAAAGAAGGAAGGCAGAGAGAGCCAAAGAGGGAAGGAAGGAAGGCAGAGAGCGATATTGAAGGATGGAAGTCAGAGGGAGATATTGAAGGATGGAAGTCAGAGGGAGGTAGAAAACAAATAAAAGAAGGCAGAAGGCGGTAAGGAAGGAGAAGGAGAAAGAAAAAAGAAAGAAAGAAAAAAAAAGAAAGAAAGAAAGAAAGAAAGAAAAAAGAAAGAAAGAAAGAAAGAAAGAAAGAAAGAAAGAAAGAAAAAAGAAAGAAAGAAAGAAAGAAAAAAGAAAAGAAACTTCCTATGAGGAAGGGAGGAACGAAGGGAGGGAGGGAGGAAGGAAGGAAGGAAGGAAGCAAGAGAGGAAGGGAGGAACGAAGGAAGGGAGGGAGGGAGGAAGGAAGAAAGAAAGAGAGGAAGGAAGGAAGAAAGGAAGGAAGAAAGAGAGGAAGGAAGGAAGGAATAGAGGAAGGGAGGTAGGGAGGGAGGAAAGAAGGAAGAAAGAGAGGAAGGAAGGAAAAGAGGGAGGAAGGAAGGAAGAGAGGAAGGGAGGAAGGAAGGAAGAGAGGGAGGAAGGGAGGGAGGAAGGAAGGAAAGTAAGAAGGAAGGAAGGAAGGGAGGGAGGGAGGAAGGAAGAAAGAGAGGAAGGGAGGTAGGGAGGAAGGAGGGAGGGAGAAAGGGAGGATGGAAGGAAGGAAGAGGTAGGTAAAGAAGGAAGGCAGAGAGAGCCAAAGAAGGAAGGAAGGAATGCAGAGAGTGATATTGAAGGATGTAAGTCAGAGGGAGATATTGAAGGATGGAAGTCAGAGGGAGGTAGAAAACAAATAAAAGAAGGCAGAAGGCGGTAAGGAAGGAGAAAGAAAGAAAGAAAGAAAGAAAGAAAGAAAGAAAGAAAGAAAGAAACTTCCTATGAGGAAGGGAGGAACAAAGGGAGGGAGGAAGGAAGGAAGCAAGAGAGGAAGGGAGGAATGAAGGAAGGGAGGGAGGAAGGAAGGAAGAAAGAGAGGAAGGAAGGAAAAGGAGGGAGGAAGGAAGGAAGAAAGAGAGGAAGGAAGGAAGAGAGGAAGGGAGGGAGGGAGGAAAGAAGGAAGAAAGAGAGGAAGGAAGGAAGAGAGGAAGGAAGGAAGAGAGGAAGGAAGGGAGGGAGGTAGAAAGAGAGGAAGGAAGGAAGGAAGGAAGGAAGAAAGAGAGGAAGGAAGAGAGGAAGGAAGGAAGGGTGGGAGGAAGGAAGAAAGAGAGGAAGGGAGGTAGGGAGGAAGCAGTAAGGGAGAAAGGAAGGATGGAAGGAAGGAAGAGGTAGGTAAAGAAGGAAGGTAGAGAGAACCAAAGAAGGAAGGAAGGAAGGAAGGAAGGGCAGAGAGAGATATTGAAGGATGGAAGTCAGAGGGAGGTAGAAAACAAATAAAAGAAGGCAGAAGGTGGTAAAGGAAGGAGAAAGAAAGAAAAAGAAAGAAAGAAAGAAAGAGAAAGAAACTAACTTCCTATGTATTAGAAAACTACAGGAGATCTCCAATCCTTGGTCTTATGCCTGGATTACAGCTCACACATCTCCCAGATCTGCTCTTCTCAGAATCACACTGCTAAAGCTCTTCTATATTCAGGAGATAAGGAAGGCAGAGGGGGATACGAAAGAAGGTAGTCAGAGGGAGATAAGGAAGGAAGTAATGAAGAGGTAAGAAAGGCAGAGAAAGATAAGGAAGGAAAGGTGGAAGGAGAAAAAGGAAGGCAAAGGAACAGTGAATACATAAGTAGACAGCAAGGCAGTAAAGAAGAGAGAAGGAAAGAATAAAAAGAAAGGAGAAGGAAGGAAGGAAGGGAGAAGAAAGCAAGGAAAGAAAAGGGAAGGAAGGAATGAAAGGAGAAAGACGAAGAATGGAACTGGGGAGGAGGAGGTAGGAAGAAAGAAGGAAGGGAAGGAAGATGGAAAGGAAAGAAAAGAAAAATGAAGAGAGGTTGTTTTGCAATTAATACACAGTAAAGTAGATCATCTCATGTATTAGAAAACTGAAGGAGGTCTCCGCTCCGCACTCCTCGGTCTTATGCCTGGATTACAGCTCACACATCTCCCAGATCTGCCATTCTCAGACTCGCACTGTTAAAGCTTTTCTATATTTAGTTGGCAGATTAACACATAAAAAAACCTACAAAATAAAACTGAAGAGAAAAAACGTGGGTGATAATGACAGAATAGATCTTGCTATTTGTGTCTAGTCTAGTATTTATAACTTCCAGATGCACCAAAAAAGTCAGATAAACAGTACATAGGCTATAAAAACAAATTCTTTAACGTGCTCTAAAGCTGTTCATACACTAGTAGAATTTTGTTGGAGATGTTTCATTTCAAGAACGTTCGTTTCAATTTTCTAATCGTTAGTTGGGTCAAATTGATGTTTGTGATGGGGAAATTTGAAGAAGCAGGATGGAAAGTTTTTCTTAAATGAACATCTTGTATGTGGTATTCATTTGGTAAAGTCCATTCGCTCCAAAATTAGATGTTAAAGCAAACAAAATGTTGAAGTACTTTCCTCAAGTCATTGAATGCACTTAAGAGAATGTTTTTCCAAAAATTACTAGTGTATGCAGAGCTTTACATACTCATCTAGTTTGTGGCAGAAATACCATGCAGCAGTGGCCCAGGCCTCACTTACCCAAGAGACTATGCTCATTCCTGGTAGTATTGGCTTGGCACACCAAACTTTGGTGATGAGCAAAGTTTAAAGGACAAAGAAATTTAAAAGAACATTTGAGGTTGCTGTTGGCATTGGACAATGTGTGTGATTACAAGCTGCTTCAACTTGTGCAGTAGGGAAGAATTCTGTGGCCCTATACCCGCACTGTCTGCTTCTACTTGAAAGGGACCAGGACCATGCCATGCAGAATCATTCTTTACCCATACATTCACGATTATATTTTAGCACTTTAAAATTACCAAAGATCTAAAATGATCCACAAACCAACCTGCTGGTCAACTCCTTCTGCTTAGGTCCAGGCCTCTGTGGCAAAAAAACTGCACAAAAAAATACAGGGCAACAGAGTGCCCCCAAAAAGGAAGTTACTAAGCAGATCAAGCGGCTTAAAAACACAAGGCTTTAATAAATGTCAACAATACAAAACACTTAA